AGCAAGACTCCGTCTTAAATAAAAAAAAAATTCCAAAATGTTTTTATAGCATTTATAGGATACGAAAGGAAAGGAGAAGACAAGCTAAAAACAACTGCACTAAAATATAGCATATTTGTGATATGCATAGGATTCTGTCTATGCATTTGTATAAGTGCTGTATGAGTACAAAAGTGTGCACAATATAGAAAGAGAAGTTTTAAAAGAAACGAACTTATACAACAAGGAATGGCAGTTAACATGCAATTAGGTTAAGCACAGAGGTTTCAAAACAACTGTATAAAGCAATATAGAATGAAAATCTGAAAAAAATTTAATATAATCATATAAAATATTAATAATTTAATAACATCAAAATGGGTTACAAATGTAAGATTAAACTGCCAGTCATGGAAACTAAAGAATATGACAGGAAGCCTTTTAAAATTATCTGGGCATGGTGGTTGGCACCTGTAATCCCAGCTACTCAGGAGGCTGAGGCAGGAGAGTCACTTGAACCCGGGAGGTGAAGGTTGCAGTGAGTTGAGATCGCGCCACTGCACTCCAGCCTGGGTGACAGAGTGAGACTCCATCTCAAAAGAAAAAAAAAAAATGAAAAGGAAGCAGTATCTAAGGTTATAATTTGATCTTATATAAAGATGTAAGGGGCCGGACGCTCATGCCTGTAATTCCAGCACTTTGGGAGGCCGAGGCGAGTGGATCATGAGGTCAGGAGATCGAGACCATCCTGGCTAACACGGTGAAACCCCGTCTCTACTAATAATACAAAAAAATTAGCTGGGTGTGGTGGCGGGTGCCTGTAGTCCCAGCTACTCGGGAGGCTGAGGCAGGAGAATGGCGTGAACCCGGGAGGCGGAGCTTGCAGTGAGCCGAGATTGCACCACTGCACTCCAGCCTAGGTGACAGAGCAGGACTCCATCTCAAAAAAACAAAACAAAACAAAACAAAACAAAAAAAGATGTAAGGATTCAAACATGTTTATGACAGATAAATGTGACCTTTAAATATATAAGGATTCAAATCTGTTTATAAGAAATAAAGGTGATGCAACTTCTAGATATAGATTGAATACAAAAAGCTAAAAGGCACAATAAGGAATGACAGAGATGTGAAAAGAAGTTGGAAGTTTATGTATAGGAGGTGATTTATTTAGCCAAAAGATGCAGAAGAACTTTCTACATTTATAAGGCAGTTAGGGGGATGCAATGTGACCAATGGATGGATTTGGGTATATAAGCTTTTTAAACTTGCACCCAGTCCTCTCAAGTACATTGAAACTTATATAAAAGAACATAAAAGAGCTAAAAAAGTACATATAAGAACATTCTTTATGTAATAACTCACGTAAAATAACTAAATGACAAATGCCAAAATTGGCAAAAACTCCAATGCTTATATGTTAAAGAAAGCAGTAAAAAACATGAATGAAATCACTTTGAATGCATCATACAAAAGCCAAGAATTTCCATAGACAATTTCCAATAGAGTGATAAATGTCTAACAAACACAGATATAGTCAGTCTTACTAGTAAGGAAAAATTGCAAAGTAAAGGCCATTAATATACCAGCTTTCAACTATTAAATAAATTTTTAATTCATTTGAATACCTAGCATAAGAAAAGAGGCTGAAAACTGTATGTTTCATAAACTGCTGTTGCCAGGTAGTAGTTGGAAAATATTTATTGGTCTGGATCTTTCTCATCAATATGGAAACAAACTTAAATATATCCTTCTTAAAAATGAAAAATTGGCGGGGCCAATTTAATCCCAGCACTTTGGGAGGCCGAGGTGAGTGGATCACGAGGTCAAGAGATTGAGAAATGCCTGGCCAACATAGCGAAACCCTGTCTCTACTAAAAATACAAAATTTAGCTGGGCGTGGTGGCATGCACCTGTAATCCCAGCTACTTGGAAGGTTGAGGCAGGAGAATTGCTTGAATCTGGGAGACAGAGGTTGCAGTGAGCCGAGATTTCGCCACTGCACTCCAGCCTGGGCGACAGAGCGAGACTCTGTGTTAAAAAAAGAAAAAAGAAAAAATGCCCTCACTTCCATTCATATTCCCCATAGCTAATACCCTACTTCTCTTTCCCACTTAATTGCAGTGATTCTTGGGCAGATGTTCTGCTTTCACTGGAACTACTTTAGACCCCACATTTTCTCTTCTAATTGGGCTTTTATTATCCTTACTTGATTGTCATCTATCACTCTCCATTGCTGAGTTCAACATGCACTTCCCTTCTTAGCATCGTAAATAAAGATACAAATCAATTCGTTCACCAAGCAAATACCCACAGCAGCCTCTTTACTCTGGTGTCGCCAGGAATGGCTCTTTCAAGATCTCGGGTCTATGCTCACAGCTTGCAATCTCCCTGATCCTTTCCTACAGTGCCTGTTGGACTCACCTTGTTGGGTTTTCTGAAATGAAGGTCTCAATCTAGAAGTGCAAATTCCTCCCTGGATGGTTGATGGTGGAGACTGAGGCTATGTCCCAAGACAAGACAGTAGGAGAAAGGAAAGAATCAGTACCCCTGAGCCAGCAGATATAGACTCTGAAAGAAACAAGGATGTCCTATCCAGCCCAAGGTTGCATATGCTGAGGGACACCTGCGGAGGAGAAATTTACAACTTCGTATGCCTGCTCATTGGAGACATTTCTTCTTGTTATTCAACCCCTGATCACATCAAGTCCCTGTGGGACATTGCTCTTCATGGAATGAATTTTTTTTCTTGCATACTCAGTTCCCAAGACACCAGATTAAACATCAGGTGAATCGAGTCTTTATTATTCCTTCTCCATGGATTTGTCTGCCTTCCAAAGGTCTAACCTCCTCTCCCTTCATTCCAACCCTGATGGAAAGTTTCCTCCGAAGTTTAAACTGAGGAATCTTTCTTGACTAAGCCCCTTGAGTCTCCAAAGCATTGACTTGTGATAGGAACACAGGTTAAGAGCTGTCACTTAATCCTTCATTTATAAAACATTTGATAATTGTCAGAGATATATTTACATCTTTTCATGCAAGTTACACTTAGATTATCACCTTATAAGGGTGATCTCATCAATTTTTTAAAAAAGTAATTTTTTCAAGACTTTTTTCAAGTCTTTGCTATTGCGAATTTTTTTTTGTTTTTAATTTTTTTTATTATACTTTAAGTTCTAGGATACATGTGCACAACGTGCAGGTTTGTTACATATGTATACATGTGTCATGCTGGTGTGCCGCGTCCATTAACTCGTCATTTACATTAGGTATATCTCCTAATGCTATCCCTCCCCCCTCCCCCCACCCCCCAACAGGCCCCGGTGTGTGATGTTCCCCTTCCTGTGTCCAAGTGATCTCATTGTTCAATTCCCATCTATGAGTGAGAACATGCGGTGTTTGGTTTTCTGTTCTTGCGATAGTTTGCTGAGAATGATGGTTTCTTACTGCATCCATGTCCCTTCAAAGGACACGAACTCATCCTTTTTTATGGCTGCATAGTATTCCATGGTGTATATGTGCCACATTTTCTTAATCCAGTCTGTCACTGATGGGCATTTGGGTTGATTCCAAGTCTTTGCTATTGTGAATAGAGCCACAGTAAACATACGTGTGCGTGTGTCTTTATAGCAGCATGATTTATAATCCTTTGGGTATATACCCAGTAATGGGATGGCTGGGTCAAATGGTATTTCTAGTTCTAGATCCTTGAGGAATCGCCACACTGTCTTCCACAATGGTTGAACTAGTTTACAGTCCCACCAACAGTGTAAAGTGTTCCTATTTCTCCACATCCTCTCCAGCACCTGTTGTTTCCTGACTTTTTAATGATGGCCATTCTAAATGGTGTGAGATGGTATCTCATTGTGGTTTTGATTTGCGTTTCTCTGATGGTGAGTGATGATGAATATTTTTTCATGTGTTTGTTGGCTGTATGAATGTCTTCTTTTGAGAAGTGTCTGTTCATATCCTTTGCCTACTTTTTGATGGGGTTGTTTCTTTTCTTGTAAATTTGTTTGAGTTATTTGTAGGTTCTGGATATTAACCCTTTGTCAGATGGGTAGATTGCAAAAATTTTCTCCCAATTATGACACAATTTTTAAAGAGGAAGATATTTGTTAGTACAACAGAAGGAGTGATATCTACAGGCAGTACTGGAAAATTTTAAGTAAAATGAGGAAGCTAATACAATAAAATTATATGGACCATGACACCAAATCTCTCAGATGAACGAACTTCGTTACACATGGACACCAAGCTTCTATGCTTCAAATGTTCCACAGTAATTCCATATGTGACTGAAAGTTTTATTCTGTCATATTTAAGGTCATCTCTGAGGCTAAGGCCAGATGAAGTCAATTCATGTTTGCTAACTTGTCTTTCTGTTTAGATTACACTTGGAACATCTATTCTATAAGCACTTTTTGTCTTCCTTGTTTTTAACCAGAGAATATAGTGGGTACTGTAGATACCAAGCAGAATAGAAGACAGGATCCTAAGGAAGAGAATAAAATTCCAGGAGTAGCTATAAAACACACTAGTATATTAAAGTTTACATTGTGAGGAGGACCAGTTAAGACAGTGACAGAGAAAGAAATGCCAAATGGAAAAGTGAAAACCTGTGGTCTCAGCTAGGCATCCACAGTAAAATTATATTAATGGCCTTAGAGTGGCCATTCTTGGTTATCTGGTCTAACACAACTCATTACTCCATGAGTCCGATAGGAATCTCCACCTTGTTTCTGACCCTAGACTGGAAAGAGCTTTGCAAAAGTAGGAAAATGACAAAGGACAAAAAAACTGTTGGCTGTTTGAGAGCTGAAAACTTTTAAAGAAAAGGCATACATTTTACAAAGCAGTTAAGATCATATGAATGGAAATCCTAAAAAATTAACGGAAGCAGCCACTTCTATTTTCACAATCTGACTAATAAATCACAGTTTCTGGGTCTGGGGCTTAGAACTCTGGAATCACAGACCCTTCTTTAAAAATGGCTGTTTTTAAATTTTTTTTTTTTTTTTTTTTTTTTTTTTTTTTTTAAATTTTGAGACAGAGTTTTACTCTGTCTCCCAGGCTGGAGTGCAGTGGCATGATCTCAGCTCACTGCAACCTCACCTCCTGGGTTCCAGCGATTCTCCTGCCTCAGCCTCCTGAGTAGCTGGGACTACAGGCACATGCCACCACGCCCGGCTAATTTTTGTATTTTTGGTAGAGATGGGGTTTCACCATGTTGGTCAGGCTGGTCTCGAACTCCTGACCTCACAATCTGCCCGCCTCCACCTCCCAAAGTGCTGGGATTACGGGGTGAGCCACCGCACCTGGCTGAAAAATGGCTCTTTTATTGTTTCCCTCTGAAGAATTGTGTCAGAGCCCCCTTTATGTCTTTATTCCTCAGACTGTAAATGAAGGGGTTGAGCATGGGGGTGACCACAGTGTACATCACCGAGGTGACAGTAGTTGAGTGTGAGTTTTGGGTCATAGTAGAGCTAAGGTACACTCCTAGCCCCGTACCATAAAATATGGAGACAACCAAGAGGTGAGATGCACAGGTGGAAAATGCCTTGTACTTCCCCTGAGATGACGAGATTGCACATATGGAGGAAACTATCCTACAGTAAGAATAAAGGATCCCAATAAGAGGACCACCGTCCAGCAGCACAGCTGCAAAATACATCACCATGTTGTTCACAAAGGTGTCAGAACAGGCAAGGTGGATCATCTCATTAAGTTCACAGAAAAAGTGAGGGATTTCCAAGTCTGCGCAGAAGGACAACTGCAACGTCATTAAGCTTTGTAACATGGAGTTTAGGACACTCGTGATCCAGGACATCAGAATCAGCAGTCCACAGAGCTGAGGGTTCATGATGACCGTGTAGTGTAGGGGGTGACAGATGGCCACAAACCGGTCATAGGCCATCACGGTCAGGAGTAAGCTATCCAACACTATAAAGAGTACAAAAAAGCACATCTGGGTGATGCAGCCTGCATAGGTGATGACTTTGCTCTGTGTCTGGATGTTCACCAACATCTTTGGGACCGTGGTGGAGGCAAAACAGATGTCTACGAAGGACAGGTTGGAGAGGAAGAAGTACATGGGGGTGTGGAGGTGGGAGTCTGAGATTGTGGCCAGGATGATGAGCAGGTTCCCAAGCACGGTGACCAGGTGCATGGACAGGAATAGCCCAAAGAGGAATGGCTGCAATTCTTGTTTTTCTGAAAATCCTAGAAGAAGAAATTCTGAAATTCGTGTCTCATTCCCTGCTTTCACCTGGTTGATGTTTCTACAAAAACAAAAAACAAAACAAAACAAAACAAAAAAACAACAACAAAAAACCCCACACACACAAGAAAGAAGAGAACATGAGAAAAACATGCATCGCCAACCCACCAGAAATGCTGTCATACATATTCTACAGTGAAGAAGATACGTTTTATTTTATTTTTTATTTTTAGTTTTTTGAGATACAGTTTTAATCTTGATGCCCAGGCTGGGGTGCAGTGGTGCAATCTCAGCTCACTGCAACCTCCGCCTCCCGGATTCAAGCGATTCTCCTACCTCAGCCTCCCAAGTAGCTGGGATTACAGGCACACGCCACCATGCCTGGCTCATTTTTGAATTTTTAGTCAAGACTGGATTTCACCACGTTGGCCAGGATGGTCTCAAACTCCTGAGCCTAGGTGATCCACCTGCCTCGGCATCCCAAGTGCTGGGATTGCAAGCATGGGAAGAAGTAGTATCTAAGGTTATGGTTTCCTCTCATATAATTATATAAGGATTCTAATATTTGTGAGAGAGGAAGGTGGTTTTTAGTCACATGATAAAGAATGATTACCAAATGATGGTCAAAGGTCAAAGGTGATGCAACTTCTAAGAAGAGATCTAATACAAAAATCCAAAAAGCACAATAAAAAATAAGAGAGAGAAAACAAGTTGGAAATGCACGCATAAAAGGCAATTTCTTTGTCCAAATGATGCAGAAGAACTTTCTACATTTATGTAGCAATGAGGGGAGCACACTATGATCAATGGATTTGGCTACACAATACTTCTAAGCTTTCACACATTTCCCTCAAATACATTGAAAGTGACGTAACAGTAATAAAAGACAAATGCCAAAATCGATGAAAAACTCCAAGTCTTTTATTTTGATAAATGCAATAAAAACAGGATTAAAAAGATTACAAACCCATTTTGCAAGCAGAAAGTTCACGTACAATTTGCAATAGCTGTAAATGTCTAACAAATACGCAGATACGTTTAGCTTCACTATTAAAAAAACGTGGCAAAGTAAAGGTTGCTAGTATATCACCTTTTCACCTATTAAATAAGTTTTTTATTTCATTTGAATTCTTAAGCATGAGAGAAGATATTGCAAAATGTGTACCTCATGACTGCTGTTGTTAGATAGTATTTGAAAGGAATTCATTGGTCTGGATCTTTCTCACCAATATGGAAAGAGAGTCAAATATGCCCCTTAAAAATAAACAAACAAACGAAAAAATCCCTCTCTTCAGTGTATATGTCTCCACAGGTAATTGACAGAGCAGAAGCACCGTCATCTTGGACAAACGCCACTGTAAGTTCCAGCTCCTTTTCTAACCTCATGCATCTTCGGAAAATCACTTCTCTTCTAACAACAAGCAACCAGAAAAAGCAGACAGTAAAACACAGATAAGACAACTCGGGCACAGAGGGAGGGGGAAAATCTCTTGGGTAACCACCAAACCTGGCACTCGCACAGTGGGCCTCAGTATAACAGTGGGATCTAATAAGCACATTCTTTTCCCTTTAGGTGCACTAAGATAAGGAAGCTAAAAGCAGACTTGGGGGGTATGCCTGCAGCTGCAAGAAGATGTGTGGGAACAGGCACAAAAACTCTGTCTCCAGGTAAGCAAGACAAAGAGGCACAGAAACATTCTGAGCCGGTGATAAGCTCTCCCACCTTGAGCCCTTAAAAACTCTTAGTGTATAAGAAAGAGTAAGAGTGCCTCGGCTGGTGCAGTGGCTCATATCTGTAATCCCAGCACTTTGGGAGGCCAAGGCAAGCAGATCACGAGGTCAGGAGTTTGAGACCAGCCTGGTCAACATAGTGAAACCCCATCTCTACTAAAAATACAAAAAATTAGCTGGGTGTGGTGGCAGGTGTCTGTAGTCCCAGCTACTTGGGAGGCTGAGGCAGGAGAATCACTTGAACCTGGGCGGCAGAGGTTGCAGTGAGCTGAGATTGCACCACTGCACTCCAGCCTGGGCAACAGTGTGAGACTCCGTCTCAAAAAAAAAAAAAAAAAAAAAAAAAAAAAGAGTACCACTGACCTAACTCAGCCAGAAGCCCCTCTCATGTTTGTTCTCCAAAATAAACCTGTCTTTGACCATTGAGCTGCTTTTCATGTTTCTTTCCTCTTTCTTTAACTATTACAGTAGTACCCTATTTTTCATCTTCACTTAATTGTAAAGATCCTTGGGCACAGGTGCTGCTTTTACTGGAGCCACTTTAATCCTCTCATTTCCTCTCCTAATTGGGTTTCTATTACTATTACTTTATTGTCAACAATCATCTTCCAATGCTGAATTCAATGTTCACATTTCTTTTTAGTATCCTAAATAAATACCTGAATCAATTAATTAGTCAGGCAAACTAGCAAACAACCACAACAATCTCTCCACTCTAGCACTGGTTGGATTGGCTCTCAGGTGACCTTAGGTTCACGTTCACAGTTCCATTCTCCCTGACCCTTTCCCGCAGTACCTACTGTACACTTGGACTTACCTTGACTGGTTTTCTGAAAGAAAAGTCGCCATGTGGAAGTGTGAATTCCTCCCTGGGTGGTTGATGGTGGAGACGGAAGCTCTGTGCTGAGACAAGACAGTAGGAGAAAGGAAAGGTACTTGAGCCAGCAGATTTAGACTCCAAAAAACACAAGCATGTTCCATCCAGCCCAAGGTTGCATATGCTGAGTGACAACAGCCAAGGAAGTACTTACAGATTTGTATATCTGCTCATTAGGCACATTTCCTCTTGTTATTCCAACCTGAGCAGGTCATTTTCCTTTGGGATTTTACCCTGCACTGAATTGATTTTTTTCTTTCATTCTCTATTCCCAAGACGCCATATTAAGCCTGCGATGAATCCAATCTGTAATATTCCTTCTTCATGGACTTGCTTGCCTTCCAGAGCTCTAACCTCCTAACGCTTTACTCTATTCTCCATTCCCAAGGGAAGGTTTTCTCCTAAGTCTAAACTAAGGAACTTGTCTTAACTATGTTCCTTGGGTCTCCAAGGTATTCACTTGTGATGGGAACACAGCCCTTGATATCTCCAGAATTATCGCTATTTTCCTCAACAAGGGGGTGAACTCTGTTCTGATATAAAACCATGAGTCCTACACTTCTTGAATTCATGATGCTTTTGCCAAAACAATGAGAAATTTTGTGCTTCTTAAAAAAGTTAAGAGCTGTCATTTAATTCTTCATGTATAAAACATCTGGCTACTCTTAAGAGATATATCTGGCTCTTTTTATGCAAGTTGCCCTGAGAATCACACCCTCTAAAGATTATTTTATTTAATTTTTCAAAATTTATTTGTTTATTTAAATTGACATAAAATTGTATGTATTTATCACATAAAACATCACATTTTGAGATATATACATTACAGAATGGTTAGATCTAGCTAATGGATATATGTTTTACCTCACATAGCTATCGTTTTTGTAGTGAAAACACTTAACATCCACTCTCTTAGCATTTTTCAAAAACACCATGTATCATCATATTAAATATAAAACCTTCATGCTATACTATAGCTCTGGTGAACATATTTTTCCTGGCTGCAATTTTGTATCCTTTGACAAACATCTCCCCACTCCTCTTCCCACAACAGCCCTAGCCTCTGGTGGCCACCGTTCTACTCAATAATTCTATGAGATCTTTTTTATTATTCCATATGATTAAGATCATGTGATATTTGTGTTCCTGTGCCTAGAATATTTCACTTAACATAATGCTCTCTAGGTTCATTCATTTTGTTGCAAATCACAGTATTTCCTTCTCACACAGGGCTGTAGAGTATTCCATTATGTACATATGCCACATTTTAATATCCATTCATCCACTGAAGGACACTTAGATTGACTTCATTTCTTGGCTATTGTGACACTGTAATAAATAGAAAAGTGCAGACATCTGTTTGATACTCTATCGTCATTTCCATTGGGTAAATACCCAGTAGTGGGATTCCTGAGTTATATTCTATTTTTAACTTTTTGAGGAACGTCCATACTGTTTTCCACAATGGCTGTACTCATTTACATTCCAGGAACAATGTATAAAATTTCCCCTTTCTCCATATCCTTGTCAGCATTTGTTATTTATCCTGTCTTGGTAATAGCCCTGCTAGCTGGGATGAGGTGGTATCTCATTGTGGATTCGATTTGCATTTCCCTGATGATTCGTGATTTTGAGCACTTTTCATGGACCCTTGTACACTTGCATGTCTTCTTTTGAAAAATGCGTCCTCAGGTCGTTGCCTATTTATTAATCAGATGATTTTTTCCCACTATTGAGTTTTGAAATACATTCTGGATAACCACTTTTCAGATGTATAGTCTGGAAATGTCGTCTCTCATTCTATAGCTTTTCTCTTGGATCTGTCAATTATCTCTTTTGCTGTGCAGAAGATTTTTTAGTTCGATGTTATCCCATTCATCTATTTTTGCTTTTGTTATCTATGCTTTTGAAGTTTTATTTTGAAAAATCTTTACCTTGACTAATTTTATGAAGCATATCCCATATATCCCATACATTTTCTTCTAATAGAGTCATAGTTTTCAGTCTTCCATTTAAATATTTATTTCATTTTAAGTTAATTTTTGTATATAGCAAGAAACAGGAGCCTAGTTTCCTTTTTCTGAATGTGGATATCCAGTTTTCCCAGTAGCATTCATTAAGGAGACTGTCCCTTCACTAATGTGTGTTCTTGGCACTTTTGTCTAAAATCACTTGGTTGTAAATATGTGTGTTTATTTATGAGTTTTCATCGCTATTCCTTTGGCCCATATGTATGTTTTTTATGCCAATACGAAGCTGGGTTTATGTACTATAGCTTCATAATATAGTTTGAAGTCAGATAGTGTGATGTCTCCAGCTTTGTTCTTTTGGTTCAACATTGTTTTAGTCATGTGGGGTCTTGGGTGGTTCCATATGTATTATACAATTTCTTTTTTTTGTATTTCTGTGAAGAATGTCATTGGTATTTTGACAGAGATTGCATTGTGTCTTTTGATTGCTTTGGGTATTATGGGCATTTTGACAATATTGTTATTTAGTTATTTATTTATTTTTTGAGACAAAGTCTCACTCTATTGCCAGACTGGAGTGCAGTGGCACGATCCCCGCTCACTGCAACCTCCACCTCCCAGGTTCAAGTGATTCTCGTGCCTCACCCTCCTGAGTAGCTGGGATTACAGGCACCTGCCACCATGCCTGGATAGTTTTTGTATTTTAGTAGAGATGGGGTTTTGTCATGTTGGCCAGGCTGGTCTCAAACTCTTGACCTCAGGTGGTCTGCCCACCTTGCCCTCCCAGAATTCTGGGATTATAGGCATGAGTCACTGCGCCTGGCCGATTTTGACAGTATTAATCAGGAATACGTGTTCTACCTTCAGTCCTTTTCAGAGAGCATGTATTCTAAAATTTTAAAGAGAAAATCTTTCATGCATTTGAGGAATACAAAGTGGATTTGGCATATTCCAGGCACTGTCCAGAAAATGAATGTGTGATGTTGTAAAACAAAAGAAGAAAGAGGTAAGAAGGAAAGTGTGGATGGAGTGTTATTTTTTACTGGGTGGTCAGGTAAGACCAGCAGACAAGGTGACAACTGAACAGAGACCATAATGAAGACCAGGTGGAGTCACCATGTTCCTTGCAGAAGCGTATGCAAGGCAGAGGAACAACAATGAAAGACCCTGAGGCATGTTCTTCTTTCAGATGTTCAAGTCCAACAAGGAAGCCAGTGTGGCAGGCAAACGAGCAAGAGGAGAGGAATGAGAGATGGTTTCAGAGGATGCTGAGGAAGGAGGTGGTCTGGAAGCTGCTGAAACCTGAAGACACAAGGAGTCCTTCTGTCCAGATGTTGCATTTGTACTTTATTAATTTGGTTGCAAAGGCACCCCATGAATTGCAATGCATAGCCTCTTTGTTTCCTGCTGTGGCCTTGAGTTCTGATGTTCATATGATGAGTTATCTTTTGGAATACATGGCGCAGGTTCTCTTTGTCTGAAACTTCTCATCCTAAAGAGACATACACGCAGAACACATATACACATCTGATGTTCATATTTTGAGTTATCATTTGGAATATGTAGCCCAGGATTTCTTTGTCTGAAACTTCTTCTCACTCTAAAGAATCATACACACACACACACATATACACACATACACACGGAACACACATACACATCTACTGTGGCTTCCTGGTTGCGTGTTACTCTCATGCCCTTCTCAACACTAATTACAGCATTAGAAAGGAATGGATACCAGGTAAGATCTGAATAATGAAAATCTAAAACAAACTTATGAAAGAAAAGATATGAAATAAATTACTGACTTGAGTCAGAAATTCAAAATTAAAGTGGCAAACGTCTGCAAATAAATGCTCAACCGTTGTGGAAGCAGTGTGGCAATTCCTCAAAGACCTAAAGACAGAAATGCCCTGTGACCCAGTGATCCCATTCCTGAGTATATACCCATAGGAATATAAATCATTCTATTATAAAGATACATGCACACATATGTTCATTGCAACATTATTCACAATAGCAAAGACATGGAGTCAACCTAGATGCCCATGAATGATAGACTGGATCAAGAAAATGTGGTACATATATACCATGGAATACTATGCAGCCATGAAAAAGAACAGGATCATGTCCTTTGCAGCAACATGGTTGGAGTTGGAGGCCATTATCCTTAGCAAACTAACACAGGAACAGAAAACCAAATACCACATGTTCTCACTTACAAGTGGGAGCTAAATGACGAGAACACACAGAGACAGAGAGGGGAAAAACACACACTGGGGCCAACTGGAGGGTGGAAGGTGGGAGGAGGGAGATCAGGAAAGATAACTAATGGGTACTATGCTTAATACCCGGGTGATGAAATAATCTGTACAACAAACCCCCATGACACACGTTTACCTATGTAATAAACCTGCACATGTACCTCTGGACTTAAAAGTAAAAAAAATTAAAATATGTTTTTTTTTAGCAGTAGAAGAAACAATATTTAAAGTCATAATTTCATTCCTGTATAAGTATAAATGGATCCAAATATACTTATGAAAAAGACCTTAGGTTGAGTGCAATTTTAGTTTGTACTAAATTGTAGGTTGTGAGTGCAAAAGAATATCTTCCACAAGATGGCAGTAGATTATTGCTTTAAAATATAGAGCTGCATATTCTCATTTATATGCAGAATCTAAATAATCAAACTCATAGGGATAGAGAGGAGTAAGGCAGTGGTTACCAAGGACTGGAGTATGGGGTGGGGTGGATGGGGAAAGGGGAGACATTAGATAAAGGATATAAAGTTAGCAAGAATGGCTTCTAGTAATCTACCGCACAGCATGATGACTTCAGTTGAGAATAATGTATTATATATCTCCAAAGTGCTAATATTATAGATTTTAAGTGTTCTCACCACAAAGACATGGTAAGTTATGAAGAGACCGATACATTAATTAGGCTCCTATAATTATTCTACAATGAATACATGTAAAATAACATCTTATCCTGTGTTA